CACCCAGCAGCGGGGGCGCCTGGCTGGAGGGGGAGGGGGCGCGGCCGCACCCTGGACATGGACGGTCCCCAGGGTCCCGCCCGCGCCCCCCTGGAGCCTCCGAGGCGGGGTCACCAGGCAGTGCCTCCACAGGTCCCGAATCTGGTATGCGCCATGCTCCTTGCGCAGAGGGGTGCTGGCTGGGGCCCGCAGATCCGAGGATCCTTAGAGGAGGAGGGGTCGTCGGGTCCAGGAGCCTACAAGAGAAACGAGACCATCAGAGGAGGTTCTCTGTGAGGGCAGGTTGAGCCTACATTTTGTCCGCAGGTACTAATTACACACCTACTGCGTGCCTGGCACTGCGCAGGGGGGACAAGCACTGCACAGCAGAGACCCATAATGGGCCCTGCCTTCTTGGGACCACAGTGAGGTAGTCCTGCTCCTCCCCCACCCCAGCCCCAACCCTTCCTTTCAGCCCCCATCACACACTCTCCCCTCCCCTCCCTCTCCCAGCCCCACCCCTTCCTCCAGCCCCCTGCCAGCTCCTTCTCAGGGGTCCCCCACCAGCCCCAGGCCCACAGGAGCAGGGACCTTATGAGCCTCTCCAGCCCAGCCCACCCCCTAAGACCCTCACCCCGAGAAGGAGCAGGCCCTTCTAGCAGGGGTCCTCAGGAGCTCCCGGACCGGGCTCCCGGGTGCACAGAGCCCGGCTCACAGCCTGCCACCCTCCACTGTGCCCCCTCCCCCCGGCAGCACAGAGAGGTCATTCCTTCCAAAACAGAGCCCAGGGCGGCCTCAGATCTCATGCCAGTCCCTCCGCACACCTTCAGGGGCGAGGCACCCAGTCCCACAGGGCCTTGTTGGAGGCACCTCATGCGACTTTGGGGGTCACAGCCCCTCTGAACTTGCCTTTGGTGTCTCCACATTCTCCCAGAAACCCTTCCTTTCCCAGAGCCTCACACACCCCTCCTCCCCTCTCCCGGACCTGCGCGCAGGCCCCAGATCAATCCATCTCTCCCCTCCCCTCCCTCCATCAGATCCTGCTTTCGGCAAGAAAGGATCTGAGGGACTCACTCCTACTCAAGCAATAATGATGAATAATAGCTTAATGTGGGTGTTTACAGGGGACAGCAACGCTGCTTTAACGGAGGAGTTTCAGGCACTGAGAAGAGTGAGTGGAGGTGAGGGGCTCAATTCCCCTCCTCCTCTCCCCACGCCAGTTCAGCTCAGTTCAACAACTCAGTTCCTTTGAGTTTTGACAGTGGCCGATCTGGGCAGGATGCTAGGACAGAGATACAGAAGCCTGGTTCAGTGGGGTGGGAGACAAGACCCCAGTAACAATCTAGATGCCAGGAGGCGAGTGATTAGGGCTATTAAAGGGGGTGCAACCTGAGACTTACAGGGCTCAGGGAGAGAGTGGGCACAGGTGTCCGGAAGGGGCAGGTGGGTGGGAGGGAATCGGACTGCCTCTTGAGGAGGGGGCACCTGAGCAGGTGGAAAGAAAGGCATGGGCATCAGCAAAGGGGTGTGCAGCAGTGTGGCTAGTTTGAGGAGTCACATTGGGCATATGAGGTGTGCAGCTGGGCAGAGGATGTGGAGGAAATGACCTGGCCCCAGCCAGGTCCTCCTGTGGACACAGGAAGGGGGGGGGTAGAAGAAACTCAGATCCCCTCCTTTGACTGGACGCCACTGTGGGCAATTCTCTTGACCTTAACTCACTAACTCATGTGAGCCAGAGCTGAGAGTTGGTGTCTTGTACCCATTTTGTGGATGTGTGACTACTCAGTGCTCTTTCCCAGTAGTGGCTCCAGAATTTCTATATGGAAGGGGTTCTGCTGGAAGTCAGGGGTTAAACCTGCATCTCAGGGCAATGATGATGAGAAAACACCAACAGTCCAGTCCGTGGGGAAGGATGAGGGCAAGAGTCCTGAGCAGTCTGTTCCCTCCTTCCCTCCAGGCCCCTGAACTAATGGAGGTCAGGACCACCTGCGACCCTGCTGTGAGCATCCCCATCACCTCTGTCTGCCCCCTCCCCCCTTTGCCAACTCTGAGGGGCCTGGGTGAGATGACAGAACCAAGGGATGCTGGCGAACCCTCCCCCACCTTGGTGGACCCTGTCGCAGTCCTGGGGGCTGTGCGGGGGGCCTCCGGGGATCCGGCTTTGATTCCCCACATTATGGCCTGGGCTGGTCGTAATGAGGCTGGAGTTATGGGTGAGGAGGAGGCACTGCTCCGGAGCCTTCATTTCCTGGAGCTTATGACTTCCCTGCGTGCAGCAGGAACTGTTCCCCTGACTCTGTCAGGCAGTTCCAGGGCTCATCACAGCCCTGCAGAGATGCAGAGGGGAGGGGCTGATGGGAAGGTTGCTGCAGGGGGTTGTGGTGGGGGAGGCGCCCAGGAGGTGGAAACCAGAGGAGACCTCCCAGTGTTTGCAGGCACCCATTGCTGTTCTCTCTTCTTCCCTCTCTTCCTTCTTTTATCTTGGTGGCACCTTTTACAAGGGGGAGGGGGTATGTACCACACTAAGATTCAATCATTCATTCATTCATTCATCAAACATTATCATATTCTACAACTGGGGAGACAGAAATGCATTTCATTCATTTATTCAACTTTAAAAATAATTTCTCTGTGAAAGACAGCAAGATGCAATCAGCTTTACATCAGGAGAGAGATGCATTTCTTTTGTTATTCATTTACTCTTTCTACAAATATTTACCAGCACCTCCCTAATGCCAGCCACTGTGCTGGGCACTGGGGACAAAGCAATAAACACAATAAAGTCCTGGCCCTCATGGAGCTGCTTTTCTGGTAATAAAGGAAAGAAATCTACAACATAATTTCTCAGAGTAATAAGTATTAAGAAGGAACATAAAGCAGGGAAAAGGGAGGAGGAGAATGATGAAAGAGCTGGGGTGGGTGTGATGTTATAGGACATCAGGGAGGGCCTCTCAGAGGAGGTGACATTTAGCAGATCCAAAAGGATGAGAAGGAGCTGAGCACAAAATAGTTCCACACACAGAGGGAACAGCCTGGGGAAAGACCCAGAGGCTGGAACAAGCTGAGGAATAGGGAGAAGGCCCCTGTAGCCGGTGTAGAGCATGGGAGTGGCTGATGATGAGCCAGGAGAGAGGGGTCTGGGGCAGATCAGGCAGGACCTGGAGGAGGGAAGGCAGGTTCCATTTTCTTGTGAGTGCTTAGCGAAGCCCTGGGAGGAATTCTGTACAGTCAAAACTACAGGAGACTGAAATGGTACATGGCCAAATGGGCATTTCATGATGTGGGTCCTGACCTTGAGGGACAAGCACAGCACAGAGGGTTGCAGCGCACACAGCATCACAGAGAGGGTGGCACTTGAAGTGGAGGCACAGGAAGGATTTGGACATGTGGGATTTGGGGTGCTGGGGAGGAGAGGGAGTGCTCTGCGGAAGGGCTGCCTGGGGCAAAGGCTCGCGGTCAAATCCCACGTTAGAAAGGAGTCAAGTCCGAGAGTGTTGTCCAAGGTCGCATGGCATACTTGGTGATGGAGCAAAACTTCGAACCCAGGACTTGGGTTCCCCGTGGTGGAGGGAACCTTTGGGGAATGGGAAAAGATGCCCTCCGGAGGGAATGCAGCCCAGTGCCAGGAGACACACTTGGCAGGATACAGGGACTGCATCTCAGCCCCACCTGCCCCCTTGGCCAGGCGCCCTTGCACAGGGAACATCCTGCACTATGGTCTGCGGGGCGGGGCCCTCACAGCCCCCATCTCTCCTTCCCACTCAGGCTTTCCTGCCGCAGCCCACCAGGTCCTCCCTCGGGCGTGTTGGCCAGGTTTCCTGGCCATTTGCCAACTCTTCACCGCTCTGCACAGCTCTGCTGCAGACACTTCGGCCTCCTCTCTCCTTCCCTTCCTCCCTTTCCTGCTCCGGCTGCTTTTCCTGAGTGGGTGTCAATGACAGGACCCAGTCCTGACGCTCAGGGTCGTTCAGGGGACGCAGCTGTGGAGCCCTGCGGCTGCTTTTGGCTCTGCTGGGCCTCACCATGAGATCTGGACACGTTGGTGGCCTTCTCTGGGCCTCAGGTCTCAACCGACCACGTTGTTGTTTAATCCCAAATGGGATTACAAACCGAGTCCCAGCCCAAACCAGTAAACGTTGGTTTTGCCCTGCCCACTCTGCAGCCTCACCTCCTATAGTCCATGTGCCCTCAGGTCCATGTATCTGCATGTGGTTCCTATGTGCATGCTGGTGTGTGCCTGCAATCACAGATGTCAGCGTGTGTGTGTGTGTGTGTGTGTGTGTGTGTGCGTGTGTGTGGGCCAGGTGCACATTCACCAAATCTATAGGTGAGTTTCTACTTTGTCTTTG